GCGGCACACCCCTTTTCAACCATACACTGAGCATTGAGGAAAGAGATAACTCTACTGGGAGTGTGATCTAAAGTACCACTCCACTCAACACACGGTACACCTGGCATAGCCAACGTCACGGTCTTGGCGTGACAATCAAGAATAGCATAATGGGGCAACAAGCAGTCCATGCCCAAGATAATATCAAAATCAATCGTGCTGAGTAACAATAAATCCGCTCTGGTCTCAAAACCACAAATAGTAACCAAACATGACTGATAAACGCGGTCCACAACAAGAGATTCTCCCACAGGAGTAGAAACATAAACAGGAAAACTCAAGGAAATTCCGAGGTACACCCAAATGCGGAGCAAAATAAGAAGACACATATAAATAAGCAGAGCCTAGATCGAATAGAATCGGTACACCTCTATAACAAACCATGACAATACCTGTGATGACAGAATCGGAGGCAACAGCCTCGGTACGAGTAGGTGGGGTAGCAACTGGGGCTGTAACCATGGCCTGAGAACTCTGCAAGGCACGCTATGCGGAGGAGCCTGCGAAGGTGCACCCCTCCTGAGTCTGGGCCAATCTCTCACCATGTGGCGTGTGTCACCATACTAAAAACAAGCTCTGGGGGAACGTGGCGGCTGTGACTGGCTCAGGCCAGGTCTGCTGGACTGACCACTGGAAGCACCCCGTGCAGGAGGCGCACTAGAGACTGGAGGTGCGTAATAAGGCTCCTGAGGCCTAGGTGGAGCTGGAATACCACTGGCTGCTGGAAGAGCTGAATGAACGGGACTACCCATGACGACCTACAGCTGGGGAACGGGCACCAGAATAATGGCCCGACTCTCGAGACCTCTTGGCCTCCCTCTCCTCTCTGTCCCTCGCATGCATACCCTCAATCCTCCTAGCAATGCTCACCACCTGCCGATAATGAATATCAATCTCCAACTCGCGAGCCATGCTAGACCTGATGCTGGGAATAAGCCCCTCAATAAACCGGCGAACCCTCTCGCGAACAGTAGAACCCAAGGCTGGTGCATGTCTAGCCAAGCTGGTGAAACGGACAGCATACTCTGAGACGGTCATAGTACCTTGGCGCAAATGCTCATACTCTGCGCGCCATGCGTCCCTGAGGCTCTAAGGAACATACTCTCTCAGGAACATATCTAAAAACTGAGTCCAAGTTAGGGAAGATGCCTCATCCGGACTGTCTAACTCGTAAGCACGCCACCACTGATAGGCGGCTCCTCGAAGCTGGAAAGTAGTGAAGGAAACCCTGGTCGATCCTGATATGCCCATTGTGCGGAGAATACGGTAGCAGTCCTCCAAAAATCCCAAGGCATCCTCTGATGCTAACCCACTGAATACAGGAGGATCATATTTCTTGAACCTCTCAAGTCTCCGCTGCTCGTCCTCTGAAGTTGCTGACCCATCCTCGGGCTGAACTGGCGCTGCAGGCGGTGCGGGAATAATCTCGGGAGCCTGCTCAACCTGCACTCGCTGCTCAGGAGTGCGGACGGCGGGAGTCTGTGCTCCTCCCCCGGCCTGGGATGTGGCTGCAGCAAGGGGAAACAACCCTGCCTGAGCCAAGGTGGTGTACATACTCATGGACTGAGCCAAAGTCTCCTGGAGCGCTGGAGTAGTAGTGGGGGTAGTAGGTGTTCCAGGTGCCTGGGCTCCGGCTGGATCTGCTGGTGGTACCTCGGCGGCAGCTCGGGCAGGTGCTCTGGCTGCACCACGTGCGCGTCATCGGCCTCTCCCCCGGCCCCGGCCCCGGCCCCGGCCTCTGACGGCTGCAGTAGGGGGCGCGGGTGCCTGATCATCTCGAGTAGCACGTGTCCTTACCATTTGTGAGAGAATAGAAGTCGGAAGTTTAGAATTGATGTTCAAAAATATCGCACGACAAGGAATTCAAATGAAATGAAGATTTTTCCTAAACAGCTACACAGCCTCTCGTAGATAAGTACAGACGTCTCCGTACCGATCAACGAGACTCTAATAAACCGGCCTGTGTCCGTGACTCCTATGAACCTAGGGCTCTGATACCAACTTGTCACAACCCCAGTTCACCCTCCATGAACATGTCGTGATGGCACCTAGTTCCTACAACTAGGTAAGCCTAACAATGCGGAAATAACAACCTAACTTGCGAAATGGTTAAATAAAGCTAGACATATTAAAATAATAACTGCATATAAGGCCGCTCGGCCTATACAACTCAAAACAGAATGCGGAAGTCTACAACTCAATCCCAAAACCCAGAAACTCACGGGAACCACAGGCTAACAGAAACATAGTACGCTGCTCGAACTCCAGAATATCCAAACAACTGAGAGAGAAGGAATAAACTAAATACTAAAGCTGGAACAGAATAGAGACTCCTGGTCTACGGACGCGGCAGATATACCTTGAAGTCCCCGTGTATCTCCTCACCTCAAGGATAGTGCGCCTGAGTAGAGGTACCTGGATAATCTGCACATGACAAACATGCGCAGAAAGGGCATGAGTACACCACAGCGGTACTTAGTAAGTGCCAAGCCTAACCTCGGTTGGGTAATGACGAGGAAGGTAAGGGCCCTACTGAGGTTAAACTATATAATATAAATCAACAGTATGAAAATAGGCAGTGACAGTGAGTACAGCAGTGGAATAAGACAGACAAAACAAAGCAATAACAAATACACAAATAATGGAGCAAACACAGAATAAGTACAGCTCAATACCAATGGTAACAATGAGGATCTCCCAGGATACCGTCCTGTAGTCCTTTTCTCAACTGTCTAGTGGATATCCCGGGACACCATCCCATAGTCCATCATATGTGTATATCCGAAGGATCTCCAGGGACACCGTCCCGTAGTCCAACTATCAATGTGCAAGGGGGATCTATCGGGAATCTAACCCGCAGTCCCAAAGTAAATAGGCAGGGGGATCTATCGGGAATCTAACCCGCAGTCCCAAAGTAAATAGGCAGGGATCTATCGGGAGTCTAACCCGCAGTCCCAAAGTAAATAGGCAGGGGGGGATCTATCGGGAATCTAACCCGCAGTCCCAAAGTAAACAAACAAGGGGGGGAGCTACCGGAATCCCACATCCGTCGTCCCAATGTAAATGCGCAACCACAACCAGAAGATACTCAGAAATGAAGTACAAAAGACAAGCAACAGGTAGTGCTAACCTAGCATGCTTCACATAGTACAGTCAAGGCAACTTAAACAATTAGGCAAGTTAAATCAACTAAACATGCTTTTCTAATCTAACACAGGTTATAATTGCAAGTAAAACAAGGCAAATATGAAGGAAACTCAGTCTCCATATCTTAAGTAAAAATCAGATTTTTCAACAATTAGCTCAAGTATGCGCTCGTCACCTCACGTACAAGGCACTTAATTACCAAATATCATATCCTAAGGGGAAAGGCCCCCCACACAAGGTTAGACAAGCCACTTACCTCGAATCGGCTCAAAATCAACTAGAAATCACGCCTTTGCCACGAGTATCTGACTCCAAATGGCCCAAATCTATTCAATTCAATTACATATTGTGAATAACATCGCAACCAACTGGTTTTACTATTAAATTCAAAGCTACGGCGTGAAATTAGGTAAAATGACCAAAATGCCCTTCGGGCCAACGCCTCGGAATCGAATAATTTTCACATTTTCAGAACCCTCATACTCTCACGACTCTAACCATGCAAAAATCTCCCAAATCAGAGGTCAAACACCCACTCAAAAACCCAATAGTTTAGCCTATGAAGTTTCACCCAATTTTCCAATTTTTGATCCCAAATTCGAATTTTAATGATGGATTTAACTACAAAATGATGAAATATAACTAGAAGGGATTAAAGAAACATTACCCAATAGTCTTCTCTTCAAAACCCTCTGAAAATCGCCCTTCCCCGAACACAATTTGATTTTTCTAACTTATGAAATCTAACCCTCAAAATTTCTATATCTGCACAGGCATTTCCGCTTCTGCGGACAAGGGACTGCTTTTGCGGTCCCGCTTTTGCGAAAAACTGGCCGCTTCTGCGACTTTCACTAAAAATGCGACGTCCGCTTCTGCGGTTCAACAACCGCTTCTGCGGTTCCGCTTATGCGGATTTCTTACCGCTTCTGCGATTTCAACCAAAAACCCAAGGGCCGCATCTGCGACTATTATCTCGCAGGTGCGTAACCGCTTCTGCGGTTAAACTTCCGCACCTGCGAAAACTGAAGAAACACTCGAATTTCGCTCCTGCGATGGACAGGCCGCTTCTGCGGTTTCCAAGCCTCAGAAGTGAAAATACCAGAAGAGAAAAAGAAACCAGCTGCTGCAACATTTCAAAAATTTCTCCGTTAACCACCCGAAATCATCCCGAGGCCCCCGGGACCTCAACCAAAAGCACCAATAACACCTAATACCTCATCAAACTTGTACCAATCCTTAAACCACCTAAAACAACGCCGGAAACTCGAATTAATCAACGATTTGAGCCTAAGAACTTCAAATTCTATCAAAACACGCTTTCGATCAAAAACCTAACCAAAACACGTCCGAATGACCTGAAATTTTGCGCACACATCCCAAATGACATGTCAAAGCTACTGCAACTTCCGGAATTCCAATCCGACCCTCGGATCAAAACTCACTATCGGACCGGAGACTTCAAAAATTCAAACTTCGGCAATTCAAGCCTAAATGAGCTATGGACTTCCCAAAATACATTCCGAACACGCTCCCAACCTCGAAATCACCTAACGGAGCTAACGGAACCATCAGATTTCCATTCCGAGGTCGTCTTCACACTATTCCGACTACGGATCACTTTTCAACACTTAAGCTCTCATTTAGGGACTAAGTGTCCCAAAACTCTCCGAAACTCAACACCGAACGTCCCGGCAAACAAATTTAGCAGAAATGAACTTAGGGGAAGCAGTTAATAGGGGATCGGGGCATTAATTCTTAAGACGACCGGTCGGATCGTCACAGTGTTACATATTAGAAAAAGAATCTTGGGAATCATGGATTCTAGTAATGCCAGAAATATTGCGAAAGCGAACAAATGCGGTGATCATGCTGAAGAGAAACAAGAATCTCTAGTGCTATCTTCAGCTCCCACAATCATGAAAATAGCAAGACACAGATTACTCAATCATATCGCGCAGAAATCTGATGCTTACTCCATCATTTTTAATCCCCTACTGCCAATTCTGGTCTGTCTCCTGAACTTGAGCAGGATTTGGACTTAGCTGAACTACTTCAAGCTTCTGCTCAACTGGTTGCAACTCGAAAATTTGATCGTGCTATAAAGTTTCTAAGCTTGTGTAACCAGTCTGCTTCTGCTACAGGTACTCCAGTCCAAAGAGTTGTGTATTATTTTGCTGATGCTCTTCAACACAAAATTGATAGGGAGATAGGGAAAATGCCAATTACTAGAGAAGAAGATATTGAAACGTATTCTAATGATGTAGAAGAGCTTGTCATGGATTTACAACCTGCTGTATTTGCAAAAAGACCATTGTTTCCTTATCGCCAGGCCACTTCATTCACCGGAATACAAGCTATATTAGACAGTATAAAGACTGCAAAAAGGGTTCATTTGATTGATCTCTGTATAAAAAGTGGATCACATTGGGCAACATTTATGCAAACTCTAGCTGATCGAGACGAATGCCCACTCAAACATCTAAAAATAAGTGTTGTTGGAAGGTCTAAAAAGAAGATGGAAGATGTAGGGAGAAGATTGTCAGCTTTTGCTGCTGAGACATTAAACGTATCATTTTCCTTCAACACAGTTGTCTCAGACCTGAGGAATCTTAAAACGGAGTCTTTTGAAGTAGAAGCTGATGAAGTTGTCGCAGTTTACTCAGATGTCATTCTTTGGACCATGTTAGCATGGCCTAACGACATGGATTCTTTGATGGAGGTTATTAAAGGCCTTAATCCTTGCATAGTGGTGCTCATTGAGGGAATAGCAAACACATATCTACCAGATTTTATAGATTCATTCAATGAAACTCTATCTTATTTTAGTGCATTAACTGATTGTTCTGAAGTTCTCCACAAGGGTATACCAATATATGAAGGATTTTACATACAAAAAGTCATCAGAAATATGATAACTGTTAGATAATCTGAAATTTTAGTGACTAAAACCAGAAAAAATAAATGAACAGAAATGGCAGAATTATGTTCCGAGCCCACCAATTCCTTGTGTGTCCTTAAAGAATCTTATCCCCTCACTGTTGCCCAAGGTTAACGGATAAATTCTTCCCAGGATAAAACGGAACTTTCCAACTTAGCGGTAGCGGCACTTCAAACCACTAAGTTATCAGCGAACTCAAAATAATGGTGGAAATCACACGACTTTGACTTACTTTGTTTTGAAAGTAATGATGCAGAAAGAAGAAGGAGATGAAGCAGAAGATTTCAGGATGAAAAATTCTGAAGGAATGGCCGCTTATTTATAGCTAACGAATTCTGGATTGAAAGGGTGTGAAAGTGGTTGTTCACACTTCAGATGGCTATTCGTGAAATGCAGCCTCTCTTTGGTGGCTATTCGTGAAACAGCCTCTCTTTGGTGGCTGTTTAATTAACGCGGGAAAAATTAAAGACGGAAATTAATTAATTTAACGTTACTAATAACGGTTCAAAATATTAATATAAAATATTAATATTTATTTAATTAATTTCATTTTATTGGTCCAAAAAATTAAGTCAATCAATCATATCAATTGACCGAATCCGAAGCCGAAGCTGAAGCCGAGCCGAGCGAAGACGGCGCGAGGCCCCTTCCTCTTAGCTCCTTTTAAGAGCTTAAGGAAGTGCTTCTATATTTAAACCCAACAAAATACTTGTCTTTAACCAATGAGGGACAAAGTGCAAAAGCCAAAGTTGCCTTTTCACCTTCTTTCCTCATTTCCCATTCACACTACCACTTCAACCCCAACAATCCCCCACATGAATGGGGAATGATGAACATGCATGAAAATTTTTGTGTGATTCGCAACTAAGGACTAATTGCATCGGGATAAGTAGGTTTCCCTTTGAACTTTCCGTAGTGAGCATATATCGGATATACTCGGTCAATCGGTAGATTTGATATCTTTGAACCGTCGAGCTTTAGTGTATACCTAGACAACATATGTCACACAATTAATCCTTATCCATCTTTAGGTTCTCATTGTTGTGTTCGTTTTAGCCATGAACGCCGCCTGGTTTCATAAGTGCATAGAGAATTGGCCTTACAACATTCTCTTTGAAGCGGCTTACACTTCACACTTATATAGGTGATTCCTAAACGTGTTACGTAGATACCCTATTTTATATACCCCATATCGAACTTAGAAATCATTAATAAGTCCTAACACTTTATCCTTGGTACTGAACATTGTCTGCATCACGAGAATAGACCAAAATGTTATTTGACAATGTTGAACCGTCACTAATGACTTTGTTTGATCTCCTTGAACCTAGATCTTGGGATCTCCAGTCTTCTTAGGTAGAGTTACCGCCATAGTGACTTGTCCTCGGCCATAGTCCCATTCCCTTTGATGACTTTTCAACTCCCTCTCTAGTTAGGCCTTTTGTAAGCGGATCCGCCACATTATCCTTTGATCTTACATAATCAATAGTGATAATTCCACTAGAAAGTAGTTGTCTAACGGTATTATGCCTTCGTCGAATGTGACGAGATTTCCCATTATACATAACGCTCCCAGCCCTTCCTATTGCTGCTTGACTGTCGCAATGTATGCATACAGGTGCCAAAGGTTTGGGCCAAAAAGGAATGTCTTCTAAGAAATTTCGGAGCCATTCAGCTTCTTCACCGGCCTTGTCTAAAGCTATAAACTCAGACTCCATTGTAGAGCGAGCGATGCATGTCTGTTTGGACGACTTCCAAGACACTGCTCCCCCACCAATAGTAAAAACGTATCCACTTGTGGATTTTATTTCCGTTGATCCGGTGATCCAATTTGCATCACTATATCCCTCAATAATTGCGGGATAATTATTGTAATGCACTGAATAGTCTTGAGTATATTTTAAATATCCCAAGACTCGTTTCATTGCTATCCAATGAGCTTGGTTGGGATTACTTGTGTATCGACTAAGCTTGCTTATTGCACAAGCTATATCAGGTCGTGTACAATTCATAATGTACATCAAACTTCCCTACACTCGAGTATATTCCAATTGAGATTTGCTTTCACCTTTATTCTTTGCAAGAATATGGTTTAAATCAATTGGCGTTTTTGCTTCTTTAAATTCCAAATATTTGAACTTTTCAAGAACCATTTTTGTAACACCCCGTACATTCGAACTAGGTACGGATATGTTAAATGGGTATTAATTTGATATTTTAGACATATTAAGTCCTAGCGGGATGATTGTGGGTGAAAATAGTTGTTTCAAAATCAAGATGGAAAGTGAGGTGCATAAGATTTGACAAAATCGACTAAGTTTGCAGAAGGTCTGTATTCCATCAGTGTTTAGTGCAAATGTGTAAGGAATTTGAGAAAACTTAAAGCATGAAAGTTGTAGGCCTTTGAAATAGCTTTCCAACGATATATTATGGAGCCCGAACGGATCTCTGTGCAAAACGTTATGTGCGTTTTTTGGAACAGTACGCGTATGCGCAAGCACTCGCGCGAACAAGCCTTCAGGCGCGCGAACTCGCGCGTGGGAGGCAGTGTTACTGCCGTTGAGCGCGAACTCTTGCGCGAACAGGCCTCCAGGTGCGCGAACTCGCGCGTGGGGGGTCGTTTTAAAGCTATATTTCGTCCCCCACAGCTCCAAAACATAAAAACTTGCTCTAGAAAAGGAACTCTTAAAAACCTAACTCCTTAAGGGTCCTTCCACCACCCAAGGTAAGTTCTAATGGTGATTTTAAGTTAATTTCAATTTCCCAACATCTTATTAACATGGGTAAACCCTCCATATCATTAGATATTCGATTGGGACACCATTGTTGAGAGAAGAAACCCTAGAACTCGAATTCAAGAAGATTGAACGTCAAAAAGGTAATATCTTCACCCTCTAATTAATTCTAACATTGGTTTAATGATTATAAACCCTAGTTCATGAGATATGAGTTGATGGGTTTGATAGAAAAGCATGAAAAATTATAGGATTGGGTTTTTGATTGTTGATTATTGATTAATGATATCGTTTATCTTATGGGTGATAAAGAAGGGTATTGAACATAGCAATTTGATGCTTTAGAATTTATCTAGGAACAAGAGAATGGGTCATTGGGTGTAGAGGCACCATTAATAAGGACTATGAAGCTTTATTTTCACCAAGTGTTTGATAAGATGCTTAAGTGACCAAAATATAAGAATCATTGCTAATATGGAATCCCTTTGACTTGTATTGATTTAGATTAAAGTTGAAAGGGGTTGACAAACGTTGTATTATGCTCAAGAGCAGGAAGTTAAGGTATGTGAGGCTAACTCTCTATGTTTGGGAATTTTAATGATTTTCCCTACACTACGTTTCTTTTACAACGTATCAATTGCCTCAGAAATACAGTTAAGCCTAGTTCCTTGAATAGTTGTAGAACTTCTATTCCCTAGCTTCATAACTCGTTCATGACTTTCATTCTGAAAGTTGTGAGCTCAGTTCGTATTCAATATAGACTTGGGTTTGATTCCCCGAAGTCTCAGTATAGCTTACTCAGCATGTCATAAACAGTTGCAGTTTCAGTGTTCATAACCAGTTCAAGAATACATGTATCATTCCAGTCCTATTCAGTATTCCAGTATTATGTAACTCAGTAGAATTCAGTATTTGCAGTATTATGTAACTCAGTATGATTCAGATTCCAGTATAATGTAACTCAGTGTGATCCAGTATTCCAGTATCATATAACTCAGCGTGATTCAGTATTTCACTATTATGTATTGGATGAAAAATTCTGAAGGAATGGCTGCTTATTTATAGCCAACAAATTCTGGATTGAAAGGGTGTGAAAGTGGTTGTTCACACTTCAGATGGCTATTCCGTGAAATGCAGCCTCTCTTTGGTGGCTATTCGTGAAACAACCTCTCTTTGGTGGCTGTTTAATTAACGCGGGAAAAAAATTTAAGACGGAAATTAATTAAATTAACGTTACTAATACGGTTCAAAATATTAATATAAAATATTAATATTTATTTAATTAATTTCATTTTATTGGTCCAAAAAATTAGTCAATCAATCATATCAATTGATCGAATCCGAAGCCGAAGCTGAAGCCGAGCCGAGCGAAGGACGGCGCGAGGCCCTTCCTCTTAGCTCCTTTTAAGAGCTTAAGGAAGTGCTTCTATATTTAAACCCAACAAAATACTTGTCTTTAACCAATGAGGGACAAAGTGCAAAAGCCAAAGTTGCCTTTTCACCTTCTTTCCTCATTTCCCATTCACACTACCACTTCAACCCCAACAATCCCCACATGAATGGGGAATGTGAACATGCATGAAAATTTTTGTGTGATTCGCAACTAAGGACTAATTGCATCGGGATAAGTAGGTTTCCCTTTGAACTTTCCGTAGTGAGCATATATCGGATATACTCGGTCAATCGGTAGATTTGATATCTTTGAACCGTCGAGCTTTAGTGTATACCTAGACAACATATGTCACACAATTTAATCCTTATCCATTTTGGTTCTCATTGTTGTGTTTCGTTTAGCCATGAACGCCGCCTGGTTTCATAAGTGCATAGAGAATTGGCCTTACAACATTCTCTTTGAAGCGGCTTACACTTCACACTTATATAGGTGATTCTAAACGTGTTACGTAGATACCCTATTTTATATACCCCATATCGAACTTAGAAATCATTAATAAGTCCTAACACTTTATCCTTTGGTACTGAACATTGTCTGCATCACGAGAATTAGACCAAAATGTTATTTGACAATGTTGAACCGTCACTAATGACTTTGTTTGATCTCCTTGAACCTAGATCTTGGGATCTCCAGTCTTCTTAGGTAGAGTTACCGCCATAGTTGACTTGTCCTCGGCCATAGTCCCATTCCCTTTGATGACTTTTTCAACTCCCTCCTCTAGTTAGGCCTTTTGTAAGCGGATCCGCCACTTATCCTTTGATCTTACATAATCAATAGTGATAATTCCCCTAGAAAAGTAG